TAATCTAAAATGTTACTGTTTCAATTGAAAGGCTAAATAAAGTTGGTTGTCAACAGTGTATGCTTTTCAAATTATTTTTTATATTCTTTATTATTTGTAGTATTGTAGTATTGAAGAAATTGTTAAATATTAATTGAGCTAAACTAATTGTAGTTTTATTTACATCACCATTTTAAAACAAATACTCTTACAACACATTTTTTAACTTGCATTTTTCTTTCTCTTCAAATACCTATAACTTAAAATGTATTCTCTGCCCATTAACGGAAATCACTTGCCAATGCACTTGCAGCAACTCTGTTGCCAACTGCCACAATGCAATGTTTTTCTGAGCAGCTAAATGTGATGAGGTATTTAAGTTTGTGAGAGTATCTGAGCTTTAATGCTTTTTATTTTAAATTCGCACGATCATTGGTGGCTGCTACAACGCTAAGATGAAAGATTGACGTCTTTGAGGTGCGAGTGTGTGTGTGTGTGACTGTTAACTTTATGGCCAACTCTTGCTATTATTATTGTTGTTTTTGCTGACTTACTGGCTGACTGATTTTGTGTTGCCACACACACACATATACACACTTTCTTCAACGAATTTGAGACAACATAATGGAAGCTGCGCTGCCTCGTTTGCCAACGTTACACATTTATGGCTCAAATTCAGGTTAGTGTGATTTTTGCACTATAAATGGGTCGGTGTCGTTGTTGTTGTTGCTGCTGCCGCTACTGCTGTTTGGTTGGTTAGCTTAAAGCGGCTTGCTTTCTGCATAATAGTTTTGGCATGCGATGTCATGGCATATAATTTTTACATACAAACATACGTACATACACATATACATACTCTTATAGTTGATTGTCTTGTGTGTGAGTGTGCGTATTGCAAAATATCAATATGCCGCAGCAGCAGCAGCAGCAGCTGAGGCAGCAACATCTGCCTGCTCGATAACACGCAGCAGCATGTAAGCCAAACAACAACAACAACAGCAAGCACAAATAAATAGCTATACGCGCACTGCTTCCGCATGCAAGTATAAACAACTAAAAGTCATCAGCAATAGCAGCAGCAATAAAAACAAAAACACAAATTACAACGTTAACAGCGACGCCGAAGCCCACATCGACGTTGACGTTGACGTCGACGCCACATCGACGACGACTCATTGCACTTGCGGTGCGTGTGACTCAAGAAAACACAGAAAATTGAGCAGAGAGAGAGGAAGGGCCAGATGAGGCGGCAGCATGCAAGTGACTTGCTCCAACAACAAGAATAATGACAGCAAAACCGCTATAAAAGAAATGTTCGTACAGTATAAATTGCTTAACCGAATCTTGAATGCATTTTTGGCTTAAATGTAATCATCAAATTGGTCGTTGCACTTATCGCTTTTATGAAGAAAGGGTGCTAATTGAAATTTAAATCGATTTAAAATATAAGGAAGTTGCGCAATTTTATTATTAATGCTTCAAAGATAATTAGACACGACATTAGAATAACTATTCTTATAATAATCGTGCGATCAAAGTTTTTATCTTTTCGAATCTATATTTGTGTGAAAATGTTCATACCATAAAATTTAAAGATCTACAAGTATTATAAAATGTCTTAACTAATTGAAGCTGTCTTATGCATTTTTAAAAGCTTTTCTTTCCAGAATTTCAACTCAGCATTATTTGCCTATACTCTCCATCATAAGCCCTTATCCAGCAGCAGCAACAGTCGCAGTTGCAGCATGAAATGCAGAAGCTGCCTTCTGATCATTTTCATGGCGTTTTTATTAAAATTTTTATTGGGAAGCAGCACTTTGCCACTGTCTACAGACACACACACACACACACACACACACACACACACAATACACACACCCACAGATATATAGAAAAGAGCAGGCAGCCACTCTCCGGCTTCAAGTTGTATTGCTTGTTCGGCATTTTGTGTTAATATCGCTGGTTATTGTTGTTGTCGTTTTTTTTTTTTTTGGACGTTTTCTTCCTCTTTCTACCATTACGTTGCCACCGCTGCTTTTTCTTGGCAGTGATTCGTGCTTTCCGCCGATCTCACACTCGTTATTTGGTCGTCGCACGTGTGAGTGAGTGAGTGAGTCAGTCAGGTCCCCCCACCAACACCGTCGGCCAGTTTTTTACCAACCATGTGTGTGTGTGTGTGAATGATAGGTCGTTGGTTTTCTTGGCGTTCGCTCTCTTGGGCCCTCTCTCTCTTTCTCTCTTTTTCTCACTCACGCTCCAACATAGTCTTGAATTGCGTTATGTTAGCATGGGCGGCTTGCTTGTCTTGTTGCTGCTGCTTCGATCAACACTTTTTATACCTGTTTGCTTGAAAATTTACCTACATACATACATATGTATGTACATAAATGCACACACATACATACATACATATGTATGTGTTTCTTTGCTCTAGTCAAACAACAGTTTTTTTTTTTGGCATATTCCCCACAATTCCTATATTAAATCTACACACACAAAAATATTTCCTCAGTTCGTTCATAGTCTAGTCATATCCCCCTTTGTGACCCAAGCTATGTAGACTGCTGCGCTCTTGCTTCCGTGCACTTGCTGAGCTCTTTTCGTCTGTTACGTTGCTGTCGACGTCGTCGTCGTTTTTGCCGATGCCCCACACTCACACTCACTCGTTACGTAGTTTTGTGGAGCAATGCGGAAGTGAATTTAATTTATTGTATTTACGCTGCTTTTGTTGCTACGACGTCGAAGCAGCTATGTTGGGCGCTTCACCACCTCCAATCGTGCGGCACAAGTAGGCAATAGAATCAGGAAAAGCTTCTAAATACTCTGCCCTTTGTACAGTAGAGTAGAAAGAGTCGAATACTAGAGATGCGCCAGCCCAACTCTTCTTTACTCTGTACCCGCCCACACAGCAGTCACTAACATAATCGTTGTTGCACCACAGATTTCGAAAGAATTTGTAGATATGTTAAGGCATTTTAAGAAACTTAAAAATATTCAATTTTCCGAAGCTATCTTAATAAACAAGTTTTTGTTTCCGCATATTCCTATGGCATATTATAATAGTGTGCATAAAAAATAAGGATATTTAAAGTTGGCAATAAACAAAGTTTGGTGTTCCTAGCTTTTGTGTGCGAAACATTGTCGATGCTAATCCCTATCGATTTGTTTTCCGGATAAAATGGGTTCTACCACACCTTCTTCTGCCTGTTATACGCATTATCATTTAAGCTTTCTTGTACACCCTTCCAAACTTGGGGTACAGGGTATAAAAATCTATATGTGATTGCTTACAGAAATCATAGCTTATTTGTGTACAATATTTCAGATTTCGAGAGTCCGAGCATTTATTATACATTCATATAAATACATATAAACAGCACAAAAACAAGCGTTGATTTGTATACATTTATATACACATGCATATACATACGTGTATATAAATTTATTGCGATCTACTCGCAAAAAAAAAAGGAGGTGTGGTGCAGAGTGGGGGGCTTTGGCACGATCAGGTGGGCAGTTGGCTCCTTGCCGCGCGCCCAACCCTCAAGCTCTGGTATGTATATATGTATGAATGCCTGTGTATGTGTGAGTAGCGAAACCAGAAGCAGGAACTGTTGACTGATTCGTTCAGCGTCGAGCGTCGAGCGTCGACGCTAGCGTTGGCGGCAGCCGCACCGTCAGCTTCGACAGCAGCAGGCAAATAAACACAATTCTGCTTGCTTTTTTATACTTTTTTTTTTTTTTTTGTGCTGGACTGCGATAAGATTTCGCTGACGTACGCGTCCAACAGTACCCCCAAGCACCCTAATTGGAGCTTAACGCTTCGGCTTTGTTTCATTTCCATAGAAAAAAGTGCATGCAACAAGAGACGACGATTCAGAGACAGAGGAGTCGTAGTCAGAGTCAGAGTTGCTGTGGAAGGCATTGCCTTTAGCTTCGATATGAACGTTATTATTGCCACAGTAGTCTGTCGAATACTTGCACAGGTAATTAATGCAGTTTATGCAACAGGCAAGCAAATGGATCAAATTAGTGGAAAATACATTCTATTATATGCATATACTATAGTACGTGGTTATGTAGTCATTTTAACAGCTTAAGTGTGTAGAATAATGTCTCTCTTAAACAAATTCAATTAAAATGAAACGTTGCTAGAATTGTAAAAGCATTGTGAGCGGATTGCAAAGAAAACTAATTTAAGAACCTTGTGGAAATAGTAAGTAGAATTAAATTAATTCTGCGCTGATTTAGGCATTTTTAAAGCTTAAATTAGATAAATAAATACACAAAATAAATCATTGTGCTAAATAAACAGATTAAGTGAATGCAAATGAGAAATATCTTTGTCGTCTTAAGCTGTTTAAGAACTTAGGTGAGGGTGAACCATCCAAGACTACATTAGAAGCACTCATTCATTCCGTTCAATAAAACTATTAGTTTTCTAAAAATCGAATGAATCACCCGCTTTCAAGGTCATTTGGCATATCAAACGGGAAATGCAATAACATTTAACAACTGCATATTGGTTAATTTGATGAATGGCCAATAAAATAAAATGTATTTTTCATTTAAGTTATCAACACATGTTTGTGGCTTTAGAAACTGTTGACCTCAAGCAAAAGCAAATATTGTAGTACCATAAAAATGAGAACACAAACATAATCGGACTTTTCGATAATGCCACCAAAGATTACCGTCCACATTTATCAGCTGGATGTTTAGTTTATCAGACGCCAATCAGACATATGTACATACATACATACATACATATATGTATATACATACATATGCACGTGTATGATGGCTAACAAATTTAATGAATTTATTTCCCATGTTTTTATTTAAGCCTAAACATTTCGTTGCTTTTCGGCATAGCATTGAAAGATATGAACCATATGGTGGCAGTACAAGAAAGAACAAGCTAAATTTAATTGAATTTAGGAATTATTTATGCAAAAATTGTGCGATGTAGGCGGAAAAGATTGGCGAGGGGCAATTATAAAATTGTATGCTTGTCTTACCTGTTTGCTCCACTGTATGACGTTGTTGTCAGTTTTCTTTCTGTTTTGTTGTTGTACTACACGCGTACTTTTTGCCGTGTATAAATGAGTGAATTTGTCTGTTCTCGCCGTTCTTAAGTTTAAAGCAACAGCGCAACGCGGAAGCGGATATGTCCAGATCCAGAATACGTCGTCGTCGTTGTTGTTGCAATTGTCGCAGTCGACATGCGTTGGTATTTTGTAGTTGGCGCGCACTCTGCTTTACAACCGCACGTTACGTCGCCGTAATATAGCGTAACGTAATGCAACGGAATGCAATGTGCACTTTTGTTCTGGTTTGCACTTCCGTGCACTTCCTGGTTCTCTGCTTGACTATCGGTTCACACACCAAGTACAAGTGGCCATCGTAACGGTATGTTGTCGTTGCTCTCCTCCCTTTATGTTAAACAATCCACTGCTGTTAATCGCCTTTACTTTAAAATGTTGTGGGGGCGGCTGTGTTATCCTGTATCCAGACCAACAACAGTTTCTAGTTGTTTGTTAAAAAAAACTCGTTGTTGTTATTGCATTTACTTAAATTTCGTTTTCATGTGATTTTTCTTATTTGCTACACAATGCATTGTCACTGCCGCCGCAAACGAATGTCAAAGCAAAATGAAAACGGTCGACAAGCGAACGACAACGAAATCAAACAACAACAAAAGGTAGGGCAGGCAGCAACAAATAAAGCGCAAAAGTAGGAGGCGTAGTACCAGAAGAAGAAGACGAGGAGGCGGCAGTCAAAGTACTTCCGTCTGTTCCTGCCTCACATTCACACGCACACACAATGCAATGCACTTGTGTTTTTGCCTTTATATGTATGTATGTATGTATGTACTTTGTGTGTGTTTTGGCCCTTTACACGCACGCTTCTTTACACAGAAAACATGGGCAACAACAGCACTAAAATCTTTTTCCCTTGCACTTTGGCTTACACTTCTTGCCGTCTCCGTTTTCGTCGTTTGGCGCTTTTTGTTTTTTACTTTTGTATATTTTCTCTTGCTTTAATTTTTGTTTATTTGGTATTTCCGTTTCGTTTCTCAACACAACAAGCACTTCTACTTCATTTCCTATAGAATTTATTTTTCTATTCTATACTAAAAGATTGAGAATTCACAGTTCTTTTAGGTAATTTATGCACACTTGCTTTCTTTTTCAACTTTAAACATTGGCGTTTTATTGGTCTCGGATGTTTTGTGTCAAAAATCCGCATGCAATAAAAATTCTAGCCGACCCGAACGCGCACAATATTCATACATAACAACAACACACGCAAACGTCTTATTTCACCAAATAGGACGCGTCAATATCGCAAGTAAATTATTTGTTAATGTTTTTAATATTTTGTTCTCGTTGTCGGCGGCTTTTTGTATTCAAAATATATCATATGAATCTTCTTATGGATTGTGTGTGTTTTGGTTTGTATTTTTCCTCCGAGCCAAGCGAAAAGTTACCGACGTCATTGACGTCCAAAACGGCACTGCGAAACGAAAACGAACGAACGAACGTCAACTAGCAAACAGAGAAAAGCAAGACAATGACAATGCGTTGCTCTCTTTCAGCGCTTATCTCAACAGCGCCCTCTCTCGCTGTTAACTTTACATTTGTATGTTAAGTAGAAGAAGGGTAGCTGATTGGGTAGCTGTCACAGATTACATTTAAAATATAATTTAATTTAATATTTGCATACGAAAAAAGAATTAAACAAGAAATGCCATGTATGCATTTTATTTTGTCTCTTTTTTTTCGCTTCGGAGGAGCGCGCATACATAATATTATTTGTGGGCGTACATTTGTTTGTAGTAGTATGTGGGCGCGGGTGTAAATAACTTGCTAATCAATAAGTTTATACAATCGTCTGCTGATGAATCAGTGATTTGATATGTGTCTATTTTTTATTATTCGTATCATTTTCTGTAGTTGTGCTAGAGATATAGTCGAAGCTTGTGTGTGTTGTATTTGTGACTCTGTAAACAATTTAGCACACGACACATTAATTAACAATTCCGCTTCCCAATATTCAAAACACGATTCAAGCGCTAATTTGAATAGAAATGGGAATCATTCTGAAAAATTATTCGACTTTTAGAACTATATGATTTTAATACTCATTAACATAACGCGGTTTTAAGATGTTCAAAAAAATATATACAAGTATTGTATATATTTTGGAATACAAAATCAATCGTAGCATCTTTTATTGAAATGAAATTTTTCTCAAAAATTATTGGTTAATTTTTAAAGTAATACTCAAAAATAATTATTAAATTTTTGGTGAATGAATAAAAATTAAAAAATATAAATCATGGTAAAAATGGATAGAAAATCTTTAAAATAGGATATCTGTGAAGACTCCGCTATCTCAAAATTACTGCAAATGAATAATTTTTTCGTTTAAAAATATCAAAATAATCATTATTTGCAGTCCCTGACAAATTTTAAATGAGTAGACTGTGAATGTGTTGTTCTAACACCATTCACCAATTTGTTGAGTAAGAATTTCATTTCAGATGTATCCTTAAACAATAGAAACGACTGGACCTTAAAATATGAATCAAATCGATCCACGAACCACGAAATCCTGAACTGATGTGTGTTGTTGTGTAAAAATATTGAATTATTTCGAGCTCTTGCAGCACATACAAGTACAAATGATTAATAACATACACACTTAGTTTTATGGTCCAAGTGGAGCTGCGGCTTCCATTAAAGCGAGCGCCGTCTCGAGCAGGTTGCCGTAAAGCGCCTAAAGATGCGCTCAGCTGCACTGCATCCGTTTGAGTTCGTTAACCAGTTTCCCTAAACATCATTGACATTTGAAGTCAAATGACCATAAAAGGCGTGCTGTGCTGTGCGGTGCGGCAAGACTTGGTTGCCGCTTCCCCCCAACCGCTGCCCCCTCAGTAGTGTTGGGGCGAAATCAAGCGAGCGCGCAGTGCCCCAAATTAGTGGCCAAGCCCACGGTGCGTTGCATGTTCATGCGATCCATAAGCGCGTATGAATGTGTGTGTAAGTGTCTCCTCAGGGGGTATAGAGGTGTGTAGAACCAAGACACAATGCTACTGTTTTTATAGCGCCCAAAGCCAAGATATCAAGAGAGAGAGAGAGAGAGGAAGAGAGGGAGCAACGGGTCAGAGTTCAAATAGTCGACCAATTGAGCCAATCAACATATTTCGCAAGTATTTTGCAGTTCGCTGGACCCGCGAAGCTCTTCGCACAACATATACGATTATATATATACATATATAAATATATCTATATACATACAAACTATATATATACATCGGTTTAAGTACGATCGGGCTGCAGCTCCGGTTCTGGCTTAGTGTTTGTATGGGTCGTAGGTTGGCGATGACGCGGAAGCAAAACATTTGACTCATCAACTGAACTTTACGTTCCTATTATGTATTTGAAATAATCTCCTTAAGTACTTGCAAGTTCGCGTTTGTTAAAATGCAGATATTACATATGTCTGTACATAGTATGAGTGGAGTGGCGTACAATGTCCAGAAAGCATCCGAAGCGACATAGAACCGGCTGCTCTTATGAGTGCAAATATCGTTCTATATAGTGCGTATAGACCGACCGACCTGCATTTGACGAGTGCCCTGTGCTCTGCACACTATAATGTGTATATAGGAGTAAGTATGTGTGTATGCATTATACAAGTAGTACCCATAGTTGTAGCTTTATTTATAGCATCGGCAGAAGAACGGCACACACGATGGCAGAGGCGACGGCAGCAACTCCTGATGCGGAAGTATTTCCAGACATGCTTTTTTGGTCATTTGCCAATCGCACAAATTATTAACTCTAAATGCGCTGTGCAGTGGGACAGACAGCCCGAGAAGGAGGTGCTGTCTGGGGCAACCATGAGACTATGTCTAGATCAGGAAACGCGATTACAATTTATTTTGGAATTTTTCTTCTCCTTTTTATTTATTTTTTATTTCAATGCGACTCGGTTCTACATATTTTGGATATAATGTAAAGGTTTAATTATCGACATCACTCCACGCTAAACAATATTTTAGATAAGAGTTTATTTAGTTATTTATATACTTATTTATTTACTTATTTATTTAAATTATTGTTACTCCAAATGAATCCTAAATTAAAATGTTTCTTTATAGTCAAGGCTAGAGAGGTCTTCAGGCTGTTTTGTGTATATTTATGAGCTAGAATTTAATTTAGAGATACGTTTAAGGAATGCTTTTATGTTTAAAAAGTTGGCCTCTGCGAGCAGTTGGTTGGCAGTGGGAGTTTTTAGGGAGGTTGCTATTGAAATGTTGAACTGTAATCGCAGATTATTTGATAATAAGTTTTTAAACATTGTAATAGCTTAAGATCCTGGTAGTCATAGCTATTCATACCCCTGTTAGCTGTAAGTTTCTAATTTTAAGCTGGCAATAAATAAATAAAGTTTTTAAACATACAAACGTATTATCTAAAGATATAATGCATACCACCAATTAATCATAGTTTAATTTATTAGATGAAGTGGTTGTATTCCGGACGAGCGCCCAGAAAGGGTCTGCATTGATTTTTTTCAAGTCGATTATTATACCAATTAATAATTAAATAATAATTAATAAATACAATAATTAATTAAACAAAAACATCGTAACACACTCCAATACACATATTCCTGTTACAAGCAAATTAACCAGAAAGCAAACTCTTTCGCACAATAATTTAAACAAATGCCAAGCCTGAAACTCTTCAGACTCGACAAAAAAAAAGTTTAGAAGACTTAGCCTGGGACACAAAAATTTAACAAATCAACACTATATCGATCCGATAATACAACAAAACTGGCATAGCTACTGAATAATGTACACCATATTTTCAAATGCTGCCAATTCTTCTCCAACCTCAGATATATTTTTCTCCGCCAACCTAGATGTCAAATCCCTTATTCCCCATCTTAGTCATGACTACCAGCACTTTACCTTAGTAATTTTAACTTAAAGTTAACATTATAATATATATTAACCATAATGAAAAGTCCTTAAAAGTGAATTGAATTTTTAATGTTCTATTAATTTGTAATAATATTTAAAAATGAATTCATTTTGATTTTCATTATAATATCAAGTTCTGCTCTATAAGCAATAATTCATTTTTACCAAGGAAGTAATTGAATATGTTTAGTTCTCGCTTAATTATACTATTAAATATAAACAAACAAAAAATCTAAATCGAATACATTATTGCAAATGCTATAAATCTTAATGATAATTAAACTGTTGAAATTAGAAATATCTTGATTTTCTGACACAACATTCTAACAATAATAAAAAGTCTTTAAAAGTCAATTGAATTTTTAATTAATTTGGAATAATGTTTAAAAATGAATTCATGATGATTTTCACTATAATATCAAGTTCTGCAATGATTATAAATCTATCTATCTATGACTATAAATCTTACAAGATAATTAAACTGTTAGAATCAGAAATATCTTGATTTTCTGACACAGACAAAGAAAAATTTGAATAACCAAAGATTTTAAGACTGGGAGGGGGTTACATCCTGCAGGATACTAAAGCCTAAGACTTTTAAATAATGCAAGCCAAATAAAAGACAAGAAAAGACGATCGTAATACCTATTTGTATGAAAAAAGCCTGCGGGGCTATATTTTGAAGAATTCCAGTTAAAACAGCATTCCTGAAGCATTTGTTTTTAACTTTTTTTCAAATGTGGTCAAAATGTTATGAAAGCCATGCAAATTTCGGCTTTAAAGATGCTCACAGACATTGATGCCTAAATAAAAAACTGGACATACTACATATGGGTTCGGTTAAATAGGGCTAATACTAGGGATTAATTAAACGGGTCATTGGATCAATTATTTATGGGTGTAACGTAATTAGTGCGGACAATTTTCCCTCACAGAAGCTGAATGTTCGAATTTTGTGGAACAGCAGCGTTGCCGCCCACGTTACCACCTACGCAGAAAAGGAAAATCCTTTTCCGAGCACACACACAATGTCCTGCTCTTCCTGCCCTTTGTGGCAGCTCCAAAAGGAATTTAATTTAATTTCTTTTTTTTTAGGATATGACGTGCAGATCCTGACTAACCTAATTGTTACACTTTCCTCCATCCAGGCACAATGGCTAATTGTAAGATTTTTGCCGCCATTTGCTATTAAATACCTTTTTTTTTCTCCTTCATTCTTTGACAGTTACTTAAAATCTCTGCAACGCCCGACAATTTGTGTGTGTGTGTGTGTGCTTGCAGGATATGAAATGTGCACCCAAATGAAGTATGAAGGCAATGGTGAAGGAAAGAAGAAACCGTGGGAAACCTGCCTGTCTGGTGTGTGTGGCAGTCAGGAACCAGATCGACTACAACAACAACAACAACAAGTAGAATGACGCTAAAGGCACTCAAGCAATGCA